TAGGAGAGCTGCCCATCCTCTCAGCCTTTAGAGTTCTGGTACAGCTCAGCGAACAGAAAAGCTGGAATGCTACACTGGAATGTATCATGAGTCTCTGCGCCTCTCCCCAGATGTTCCTTCGCCTCTTCTTCCAGCAGCCAATTAAGCATGCAGAATCTGCTATGTCAGCCTTTGCCAACCGGCGCTGGCTGGGCCTGATGGGAACTGTAGTCCAAAATATTTGGACGGCGCCAACTTGGCAAAAGAGGTTGCTTATGCAAACAGTTAGAAGCAGGCACCTTTCCACCTTTCTGCTTAACCCCAGACACTTAAAAATCTGCTCTGGCATATCCTGGAAGGTGAGCTTGTTTTATGACTAGCACATGTTGCATGCCGTCCTGAAACCGTATTTGATGAAGGGTGGTAGAAACCTTTTAATAATAAATAAAATATACAAAGACTGTTTCCCTTTCCAGGGAAAAGCACACTCTCCCCCCGCTCTACCCAGCCTCTGTTCTGAGGCCACGTCGCAAATACTGCTGGACTCGAACCCAAAGATGTTGAGATTTTGCAGGCCTGAAACAGGCTGCGTTGTCTCATTGTGCCAAAGTGGTTTGCGTTTCGGCAACCCAAGCCACTTATTTAGAATGGAAGCAGATGTAAGAATGGCTTTGCTAGATCGGACCGAGGTCTATGTAGGTTTGGCATTCCATCTCCAAAAGCATCCAAGAGAAATGCTTTTGGGATGCTCAAAAGCAGGGCATCAATTAGAATAACATACTTAGAACTCCATATTAATTCATACACACACACACAAAAATAAAAAACATTGACAAAGCACCATATCTCACTAACATTTAAACCTAACAGGCCTGGCATCAATACATGACCACTGGGCAACTGCCATGGGCCCAGGAGAGCCCACTGCTGAGTGTTAAGCTACGTTTTTAATTTCTCACAATCCAGAGCAATGGAAAATTTGGACAGCATTTCCCTGTTTCCACTGCCGCAGCAAGGTAAGCCTGCTGGCAATGTAAGATGTGCCCTGATGTAAGATTCTACCAATGGCCTTCTGAAAGCTGCAGTCGGACCAGAAACGTAGCAAGTTCCACAAGGAATGAGCTTCAAAACAGCCTCCCAACTCTCCAGCTGTAAGGAACCTCAAGCAAAGCGGTTTGGTTAAAGCAAGGAATGTGTGAGGGAAGAACAGCTGCTGCCCTGATTTTCAGAGGCTATTGCTGCTGCATTGCATCATCTGTCACAGTGCTGTCACTGTGATGCTTCTGCCAAGTCCAGTCCATCGGATCCCTGGACCGGCACTGCAGCGGTACCTGCATTGTTTTAAAAAAAAAAGCAGGGGAAGGGAAAGGGAAAGGTTTGCAGGTTTGCTCCAGCTCCAACGCTCTTGATTAATGCGTTTCGAATGATCCAAAAAGTTATCATCAAGAGTTATCTAGTTATCCTCAAACATCCCTTACTGCAGAGGTGTTTCCTGTCTATACAGAACTGATGGAGTGCCACTGCAAGCAGGCACTGCGGCTGCCAGCTTTATTTATCTTCTTCCCCTTCGCCATCTTACACTTTTGAGCGAGGATTTGTGCTGTTGAAGAAACTGGCAAGTAAAGCAATCAACTTATCGGCGAATTAGCCTAACTGAGCGATCGAACTGCAACGCCCGGAGAACAATGCCCGCGTTATTTATCGAGCGTAGAATGCGCTGCATGCTACTTTTTGAGAAGGGCATCTGGAAAAGCCGAGTTCCTTCCCTTGGTATATACTGGGGATTTATGAAGGCTTGACGCTTTGGAGTTAAATGTCGCGTAGTTCAGCCCTGCACAACTGGTGGCCCACCAAGCCAAACACAGCACACCAGACACACACACTGGGATTCACCATGTGTTTAATAAGAGTTCTGTTTCTGCAGCTGCCAGGCCAGCAGCACATCAGCAATGTTACGAAGCAGAGCCTCCACCCGCAGTGGACTATGTCCACTTTCCCCAATTTTGTGCCCTCTAGACATTTAGGGCTGCAATTCCCATCATCCCTGAGCACTGGCCATGCTAGCTGGGCCTGATGGGAGCCGTAGAAAACATCTGGGTTTTGCTCCAGGGGGTAGGACTTAAACCAATGGATTCAAGTTACAGGAAAGGAGATTCCGACTAAACATCAGGAAGAGCTTTCAGAACTGTGTCCAATACTGGGCACCACAATTTAAGAAGGATGTTGACAAGCTGGAACGTGTGCAGAGGAGGGCAACGTAGATGATAAAGGTTTGGAAACCAAGCAACAGTTGAGGGAGTTGGGTATGTTTAGCCTGGAAAAGAGGAGACTGAGAGGAGATACGATAGCCATCTTCAACTATCTCAAGGGCTTTCATGTGGAAGAGCGAACAAGCTTGTTTTCTCCTGCTCTGGAGGACACAAACCAATGGCTTCAAGTTACAGGAAAGGATATTCCAAAAAACATCAGGAAGAGCTTTCTGACAGGTAAGAGCTGTTCGACAGTGAAACAGACTCCCACGAGAGGTGGTGGACTCTCCTTCCATGGAGCGTTTTAAGCAGAGCTTGAATGGCCACCAGTCATGGGTGATCTAGTTGAGATTCTGGCATTGCAGGAGGTTGGACTTGATGACCCTCAGGATCCCTTCCAACTCTACAATTCTATGCTTCTAGGAAAGCTAACTCTGCCTCACCCTGTAGCACTTACTGGAAAGTACAGGCAGTGTTATGGGAAAGAGCAAGTATCATCTTCCCCCTTGAGACTCCCCCACTTTCACAGCTGCCAACGAAAAGCCTGGGCAGGCCAGGGCAGCTTCAGAGTCTTCCCACCTGCTTGAGAGCACCCGCACGATCGTTTCCTATCTTGTTTTCTGATCCTTGATATAGTTCAGAAACTTCGCTGCCAGCAGCTTCTGCTCAAGTCGGCCACAACTGAGACTCTCAGGCCTGGTGCAACAGCATCAGATCACACCTTCCGGACCCTGAAAGCCATGAAACCCAACTGAAAAATAACGATGTGGTAGCAAATGACTAGTCCAAATAACCTGGGAGGACAGCGAAGGCATTTTGGAAATACCAGAAGTTCATTTTAAGCAAGGTGCTGTTTACCCAGGCGTTGTTCAAACACCGGGTTAGGTGGAGGTCACACACTGTGCTCAGATAACAAGATGTTTCAGAGAGATAAGATTAAGCTAATGGGCCCTTGTGCCAGTATCTTCAAATAAACTCCAGTGTTCTTCTTCTGGGGCTCTAGGGACTAACCACCCAAACTCCTCCTCCTCGCTGGGAGGCTCGAAATTTTCCGTTGGAAAACAAAAACAAAAATCACGGCACAGGAGTGCTATACAGATCCAAGAGAAGTAACCAAGACACACAAAGGGCTGGAATAATTACAGCAAAACTACTAATGTAGTTCAACTAACCTACCCCAGCTGCCTGAATGTGAATTTAAACAACAACAAACGCGTTATAGGTAAAAAAATAATGGGAGAAAAGAGAAGCAGCAACACACTGCAGAATTCAGTCTAACTAAGGGGTGCCTTAACCTGTGGCTTCCTTCCAGATGTTGTTGATCTGCATCTGCCATCATCCCAAACCAGTAGCAGCATTCGAAATTCGCCAGGTGCATTTTGCACCTGGCTATCGGCCACTCGCGACCAAGTGAAGATGCCTAGGCACCAAGTATGACACCTGACATCACTTACCATCTGGAGGTGCATGCCTGGGGATAACTGGATCTGGGCTGGTCACACACACTAATATCATACCCTGTAGGAATAGCCCAATATTTACGTGGACTGTCCCTGGATCAAGTGACTTTTCTTCTTCAAGTTCTCAGAGTTCTCAACCCAGCTCTAAGTTGTCCTCTGAACTAATCAGATGTTGAACTCAGAATCAGTCACAGACAGTCCATCATTTGGTAAATAAGACTCCTGCCCCTAAATGGCTACTAGACATTCTGTTCTGGTGACTGTAATCTTGGTTTAAGGAGCCGTTTGGCGCCTAGTTTATATATTTGAGTTTCCTTACCCTGGTCCCTTTGTCTCCTGGTTCAACTGTGCAGAGAAAAGAGCAAACTGCATAGGAATCAGACTTTAACCAAGTCAGACCACTGGCCAATCTAGCTCAGTATTGTATACACTGGCTGCAAGCAGCTCTCCAAGGTTTCAGGCAGGGATTGACCTGGATATACCAGGAATTGAGTCGGGGACCTTCCACATGCAAGGCACATGTTTCTACCAGCTGAGCAATGGTCCTTCTCTTAGTACAGCAGACTATCATGAGTGTAGATCAAGTAACACCTGACTGCTGTCTAGCCAGTATCAGAGCCCACCACGTCCAACATCACTGCTGTAGACCCTGTCCCTCCTCCAAATTCTGGAGCCCCAGTCCGCACAAGGAAGCCCCCGTTGGAATTGCTCACAACGCCATGCAGCAACGTAACATATGCTGCTGTCCAGCTACCTTTTCCTTCTGAAGTAAGTCTAAACCCACATTTAAGCAGAAACAAATATTAAAGGGGAGAGACCCATCAGAGCAGAGCACCTACAAACCTGGAGCTGGTTTCTCACAAATACATATACATATACATATACATATACATATACATATACATATACATATGGGACGCGGGTGGCGCTGTGGGTTAAACCACAAAGCCTAGGACTTGCTGATCAGAAGGTCAGCGGTTCGAATCCCTGTGATGGGGTGAGCTCCCGTTGCTCGGTCCTTGCTCCTCCCAACCTAGCAGTTCGAAAGCACATCAAAGTGCAAGTAGATAAATAGGTACCACTCCAGCGGGAAGGTAAACAGCGTTTCCGTGCGCTGCTCTGGTTCGCCAGAAGCGGCTTAGTCATGCGGGCCACATGACCCGGAAGCTGTACCAATAAAGCGAGATGAGCGCCGCAACCCCAGAGTCGGTCACGACCGGACTTAATGGTCAGGGGTCCCCTTTACCCTTTTTATACATATACATATACGTATACGTATACGTATACGTATACATTCACTGGCCAAAATCAAGTCAAGTGGATGGCTCAGTTGGCCAGAGCATAGTGCTGACAACGCCAAGGTTGCAGGTTCAATCCCAATACAGGACAGCTGCATATTCCTGCATTGCAGGGGGCTGGATTAGATAATCTTTAAGGTCCCTTCCAACTCTACAATTCTATAAGGTTTTGGAAAGTGGGTCAGGAAATGGGAGCATCTCAGGATCGACTGGTTCCTCCAATTACTCAAGCTATTAGGATATATGCCATGTAAACCACACAACACCTATCCAACTTACAATTATCCCAAAGCCTGGAACAAATTTGCTTGGCTAAGTAAGAGGACAATCATTTGTTTCGTTTATTTGTTGTTAACTACAAATTGCCCTTCCTTTTAAAAAGGAAAAGGGTTGCGGCTGTTGTTATGTTGGTACTGACTCCAAGCGGCGCCCATTCTGTAAACAGGCTGGCTAGAAAGATTTAGCATCGTGGCCTCTCTAATTACAAATGTTCAGAAACAATTTAAGTTCCAGAGCCCGAGGGCAGCCAAAGAGCCACAACTTTGGAATATCCCCTCGACTGGAGATGTGAAATCATTGCTCTTCCCCACTCCCCTCCAACACTACTGGAAAACATCTATGCGAAACCGTGAAATCAATAATGGGATTTGCTGGGAACTAAAAAACAACAGCAACAAGTCTCTGCAGTTAAGTGCTTGCTCAGATTATCTCACTTTTGCATTGTTATGACTTAAGAGTCTGGGAGCTGGTGTCTGGTGAGGGAGGAAAGCAATAGAGTTGTAAAGAGGGGGAAAACTAGGGTCTGTGCAAAAAGGAAGGGCAGCTGGCAGGGTCCAGAGACTGAAGTTCAAAATTAGCTCAAGGTTGTTGTCTGAAGTAGCCGGATGTTGGCCCATCATTTAAAAAACAAGACTTTAGCGCCGACTTGCCCCCAAATGGCAGCTAGATATTCCATTTTGGCGACTGCAACCTTGGTTTAAGGAGCTGTTTGGCGCCTAGATAATTATATATCTGAGTTTCTAAAGCTGTTCGGCTGTGTGCACACACTCCCATACAGTACACTGCATCCCGTGTGCTCCCACGGCTGGTTTGTGAAGCTGTGTACACACAGCTCACATCTATCCTCTTGAGATATACTGAGTTTTGCTGCGCCCCCACCCCCCAATTTGAGTTCCATTTGAAAATGTAGGCCATATGAAGGCATCCAGTGTGGTGTAGTGGTTAAGAGCGGTAGACTCATAATCTGGTGAACCGAGTTGGCTTCTCCGCTCCTCCACATGCAGCTGCTGGGTGACCTTGGGCTAGACACACTTCTCTGAAGTCTCTCAGCCTCACTCACCTCACAGAGTGTTTGTTGTGGGGGAGGAAGGGAAAGGAGAATGTTAGCCGCTTTGAGACTCCTTTGGATAGTGATAAAGTGGGATATCAAATCCAAACTCCTCTTCTTCTTCCACTCTATGCCCACAAGTGCCAAGCGGGCAACTTGGGAACTTGTCCAATCAATCATATTCTGTAATTTGAAACACAGTGGGGGGGGGGGGAATGATCTTGCTGCATTTTAAGGCAGTGGTGTGTACAAAGCCTCTGCTTAGGTCACAGTTTCTAAACCACCACCACTACCGACATCACCGGTCCAAAGGCCTATGCAATGCAAAATATGCCACTTCCTCCTCCTTATTTCACCGCATGTTACACACCAGGCATGACCAAAAGGAGCAGGCAAGTGTTCAAGGAAAGCATGAGCTTGTTTCTTCCGATCAAAGATGCTCCTGGCTTCCAAGTTCTTTCACTCCCACTCGTTACCACCTTCTCTCCTGTTATATCTGGCCAAAACCTCAACACAATCTGCGGTATCTGCTGGCACACCCAAGGATATGCAGCCGTAAGCTACAGAACTGCAGGTACACTTTTAAGACTCTTGGTCTGAATTAAAGACTAATGTACATCTTTATTAAGCTTGGCACATCACTTTTAAATGCTCTCCTTTTGTTTTTTTGGCTTATGCTTTTTAAAAAAATATACCATTTTTTAAAAAAAATCTATTTAGACTACCAATGACCCACAGAAAGGGAGAGCCAGCGTGGTGTTGTGGTTAAGAGCGGTGGACTCGTAATCTGGGGAACCGGGTTCGCCTCTCCGCTCCTCCACATGCAGCTGCTGGGTGACCTTGGGCTAGTCACACTTCTCTGAAGTCTCTCAGCCCCACTCACCTCACAGAGTGTTTGTTGTGGGGGAGGAAGGGAAAAGGAGATTGTTAGCAGGTTTGAGATTCCTTAAGGGGAGTGAAAGGCGGGCTATCAAGTCCAAACTCCTCCTTTTCTTCTATCATCCATAGCTCTCTCTATCTCTCTCTCAATACACTGTGAAACTTGCTCTTCCATATCCCACCACTGTTGGAAGGGCAGTGCATTGCTTTAGGGACTGCTACCGTTGTTCAAAAACATAGATCCTTCTGCACAGCCTGGGAGTTACTGCTGTCGCTGCCAAATGTCACTGCACTTTGTGCTTTTCCATACAAGAATTTTTACAAAAGGGAAATAAAACCTAAGTTCCTTCTCTTGGAATACCCATTAGCCTGCTGCCTCACCAGCTAATTCTCCTAAGCTAACTGTGTTTCTGATCCTCGATTTTTAATCCATGTTCACATGACTCAAAATCCCAGTGTCTCCTGTAATTTCTTAGAGATTACTCTTTGGTGTGCCGTTTCTCAGACAAGCTTCTCTCCAGCTGGAGTCTTTAAGCCATTCATCTCTAGACAAGATCTGCATAGGATAAAGGCATAATGCCCGCTTGGTGTATATATGCAAACAGGAACACTAATGAAGCCATGCTGATGTGAACAGCTGGGGGGGGGGGGAGAGCTATGAAACGCACTGGATATTTGCGGGTGGGGTGGGGTTGGCAGAACAACTTCACTGACTCTAAGGTTGTAATGTGAGCATACGCTTATTCTCCTGCTAAACCACTTGAATTTTACAGGTAACTCACAACTAACTTACATTTAGTATTACATGCTATATATACATATAGATGGATAGATAGATAGTCCGGGGGGGGGGGGACTTTAGCAATCACACCCGCCATTGCACCCAAAGTGTTTTGACTATACAGTATATGATTTTGGCTTTATCCACTATCCCTGGAATGTAACTTTCATGTAAGTTAGGAGTCGCCTATAGTTCTGGTAGGTTTTTAAAGCATAGACAACTCTTTCTAAAGTTGGGTTCTCAAAGTAAGTTCAGGAGTGTATCTGGGAGGAGTAAGGGGGGAAATCCCATAGCCTGGTTCAAATAGCCAGATGCAATTGACAATCACTTACCAGTATTTTCCATTAATGACTTTTTGTGACTACTTGTGGACCATCGATTCTCCTTATTCTTCACTGGACTTACTTGTAAGTAAGGAGAAGGCAGCTCCTATCAACCTCTAAGAATCTATTTTAATAAATAAATACCGTATTTTTCGCTCTATAGGACGCACTTTTTCCCTCCAAAAATGAAGGGGAAACGTGTGTGCGTCCTATGGAGCGAATGCAGGCTTTCGCTGAAGCCTGGAGAGCGAGAGGGGTCAGTGTGCACTGACCCGTTGCTCTCCAGGCTTCAGGAAGCTATCTGCTTCCCGCCGGGCTTCCAAGGCTTGTGGATAGCAGCCTGAAGCTGGGGGAGTGCAGCGCTGCGCACCCCGGGCTTTGGGCAGCTATCTGCAAGCCTTCGGAGCCCGGCAGGAGTTCCCGCCGGGCTCCGAAGGCTTGCGAATAGCAGGCTGCAGCCCAAAGCCCGGGGATTGTGCGCAATCTCGCCGCCACTCCTGGACCTGTTCTGGGGGCTGGGGTCAGGGGAAGCTTGGGCTTCTCCCGCCCCAGCACCGCGGCTAAAAACGAAGCCAAGACAGCGAGCGGGATCCATCCCACTGGCTGTCTTGGCTTCTGCCAAAGCCGCGTGCAGTCTCTCACGGCTGGAGAGGTTGCGCGTGGCTAAAGAGGAAGCCAAGACAGCCAGCGGAATGGATCCTGCTGGCTGTCTTGGCTTCTTTGCTCTTTGGGGCTGGGGGGGGGGGAACTCCTGCCGGGCTCCGAAGGCTTGCGGATAGCTGCCCAAAGCCCGGGGTGCTCAGCGCTGCGCTCCCCAGGATTCAGGCTGTTGCCTGCTATCCGCAAGCCTTCTGAGCCTGGCGGGAACTCCCACGAAGGCTTGCGGATAGCTTCCTGAAGCCTGGAAAGCGAGATGGGTCGGTGCACACCGACTCTTCTCTCACTCTCCAGGCTTCAGCGAAAGCCTGCATCTGCTCCATAGGACGCACACACTTTTCCCCTTCATTTTTGGAGGGGAAAAAGTGTGTCCTATAGAGTGAAAAATACGGTAAGTACTTAACTTGAGGTACCACTGTATTTCCTTATATTTTAAGGCCCTCCACTGCTGCAGACATATATTGTGATATATCATGATATTTAGCCGGTGATATATTGTGATGTTGAAAACCAGATATTGCCCAGCCCTAGTACAGAGTGCCCAAAGCACAGTTTCCATAATTCAGGCACCAGAGCAAACAGTTTAACAAATTCAGAAGTCTTCTATTTGACAGAGCACAAAAAGGAAAGGAGGGGAAGGGACTGCAAAGACACATGGTGCATCAATAACTCAATAACTCATGGTTGCTTAGGCCCAGGAATGTGATGTCTGCACCGGGCCAACATTTTCCAAAGAAGCCCTCTCTGTCCACACTTTTGCCTACAAGTCATTAAACAAAACAGCATCAAGAGACGTACACCCACATCTGAATTGGCAGTGAGAGAGGCAAGTGCAGCAAAACTTCGCTAATTCACATTTCCCTAAGCCGTACACCCTATAATTGAAAAATAGGAATCTCTATCCTTTTCTGTCTGGTCAGCGAAGATTTAACTGCATATTGCTGTAATGAGGTTTCAAATTACTAGGGCAGAATTACTGTACTGCTATAAATATAACCATTTTCTGCAAAGAAGTAATCTCCAAGATGTATGAACGAAACAATGCATTTGCTATTCGGGAATAAAGTTAATTTCATCTCGCACGAGACTGCACTGACAACAGATCTATACTGTGCCCCGCACGC